CTCATTTTAAATCCAACACTTAAGGAATTAATTTGCATTCACCTTCATTGGATCATATATTTTAAGGTTTTTTTTGTGTTTTTTCTCATCATTAAATTCTATAATTAAATCCATACATAATAAATTAATAATTTCAATAACATAAAAAACTTATACTTTTAATATCTACCTGGAAAAAAATAGTGTTTTCATCTAAGTGGTGGTAAGAAATTAAAACATTTGGGTCAAATGGGTCAATTCATGTTGCCACAATTAAATAATAAAATTCAAAAATATATAAAATGCAAAAAATATAGAAATTAAAAAAATGGAAACATTTTTAACATCATATATTTGACATATGAAACAATAATCAGTATGATAAACAATGTTTTAAAAACTAACACGCTTTTGCTTTCAGGTCATAAGTCACCAGTTCAACAATCAAGGTCAAACGAGTCAAATCACTCTACGTCAACACTATATGTGTGTATGTAAAATACATATTTTATCAATAAATAATATAATTATGTTTTACATATATTTTATAATTATGTTTTACGACATATAATATATGTATTATACATGTATTATGTTACATTTATTTATGTTTTCTAATTCAGATCTTAATTTTTTATTTATAAAAAAAAATATTAAAATTTCAATTTGTAGCCAAAAAATGGTTTCTTTTCATGAAAATAGCAAGGCAAGGCACCTAAGGCCCTTAGGACGTATAGATCTTGAAAAGTTACTCAAAATAAAAAAAATAAAAAAAGGATTTCCCCAAACAGACATCTGAGTGCAAAGTTATGCCTTCCAAAAGTTTACACATAATTAAGTGCGCAACTTGTAACTTGGTTATTGGGTCGAATAGGGCAATAGTTGAACCACCTGGATTAGATGGTTTTTAATTGAAATAAGGAGTTTCAATAGAACCAAACCTAGGATCAAGGCCGAGTGATGATTCGAACGGTTCAATCGGCCAGGTCAACAATAGGTTGAAAACAGTGATGATAAATAGGAAATGTTTTTTATTAATAATGGAAATGGAATATAAAATTTAAAACCAATTGGAAGTAAAACTATTTTTCTATTATCTCTCATTAAACCTCATATCTAAGGTATATTCTCTTATTAAATCCTATATTTAAGATATATTTTTCTCATTATTAAATTCTACTAATTAAATCCACAACATTAATTTTAATAATATAAAAATAAATAATTTGAAAACAAAACCATTCTCTTCCTCTCGGTGGTGGGTAAGCAATTCAACCATTTGGGGTCAAATGCGTTAATAAATAATGTCATAATTAAATAATAAAAAATAAAATAAATAAAATATAATACTAAAAAATAAAAAAGAAAAATCGAGCATGTCACTAATATTGTATATTCATTATACTAAACAAAAATAAGTATGAAATGTAAGAAGTATTTTTATAAATGATGAAAATAGAATGTCAAGATTAAAATCAACCTAGAAATGAAATGATGTCATAATCAAATAGTAAAATTTTTAAAAATAGAAAATACAAAGATTCACAAAATAAATGTTGTACAGAAGAAATAATGTTATATATTTATAAAAAAATAAAATATTTGGTACATCTATAATATTATACATTCATTATATTGAACAAAAATAAATATTATACGTAAGATATAATTTTATCAATAATGGAAATGTAATACAAAATTTAATGTCAACCTAGAAATCAAACTTTTTTTTTTGTCGTGGGTTAGTGGTTTAGGTTAAATGGATTAATCGATGATATGATAGTTAAATAATAAATATTTAAAAAGTAATAAAAAAAGTATAAGTAAACAAAAGAATATATAAAATTATTATATATTAATTATGTCAAACAAAAATTAAGTGTGATAAGTAAAAATTACTTATATAATGTAGATAGAATATATAATTTAAAACTAATCTAAAAGCAAAGCTATTTTCTTCTCTAAATGATGGGTCAATGATCCAACTTTTCAAGGAAATTCATGATGCCATAATTGAATAATAAATATTTAAAAGAAAGATTGAACACAAAAAAAATAAAAAAGTACAGAGTTTTATCAAAGACATTTCAAAGCATTTCTAATGTTATATAATCATCATATTAAATAAAAATAATTGTTAAAATAAAAACATTTTTATTTAAGACGGAAATGGAACACAATAATAATAATAATAATAATAATAATAATAATAATAATAATAATAATAATAATAATAATAATAATAATAATAATAATAATAATAATAATTGTAATTGTAATTTAAATTTCTGTGCGTAGTATTTAAGTTTATTTTTAGTCATATTGTTACTTTTATTAATTTTCAATTTATATCTTAACTATGATATATATAAAATTCAAGTAATTAATATGAAAAAAAAAATTCAACTTACTCCCTTGAATATCTAGTTTGCATCAAGGTTTTTAGAACCAAATCGGACAACGAAGCGGTCAGGGGTCTAGTTCCTAGGTTGAACAGTCCAACCGTTCGAATCAAATGGACTGCCCGTTTTGACAAAAAAAATTAAAAAAAAAATAAAAAATGGCCAAAACCATTGGATGGTTCGACTGCCCCGGGTTAGCGATTTGTTGACCAAATCAACGATTTTTGACAAAATAACAGTTCTAGGGTAAAACGAAACTAGTCATCTGACGGTTCCTGGTGTTTCTGGTTAGACCATCCGGTCTGGTCCGGTTTTGAAAACCATGGTCTGCATTGGCTCTCACCTGTCCCAAAATCCAACAATCTCGACGTCTCTGACTGGTGCTCCGAGAGTAAATAGTTCGATGAAGACGGCAATTTGCCTTTGGGCCCAACCGCATAAATCAGCCTGGGCTTGGGTTGATCAGTGTTCAATCGGAAGGCAAGGTACAAACGCGATGACTGAGACAAAATGGTCTCATTTGCAACCTTTAGGGCCCCTTTGTCTGGCAAACAGTCCTTCGGACTAGTCCCTCCAAGATAATACTGCTTAATCACTCCTTTTCCGGCAGCCGGAACCCACCCCACTATCGAACTAGATCCGACCATCTTCCCATCGTCAGAGAATCCGATGGCAACATAAGAATTTGTGTTGGGTGCCGAAAGAATGAAATTCCATAGACTTGGTTCAATCTGTTCATACTGAAACATATTCCCTTGTGTTATTTATACAACAATATTCAAGCAATATATGATGAGAATGGAATGGAAGATAAGTAATGCAAGGGTGGAATAAGTTAGGGACTTACTCTAAGGATAAAGTCTTGAGATTTCCAAACAGATTGGCAACTAAGAGAAGTTGTAAGAAAGGGAATGCCAGTAAGGTTGAGAGTAGAAGTGCAAGAATCTGTCTGTGATTTCACCAAGGAAGAAAAACCCAGGAAGAAGAAGAAGAAGAATGTAGCAATCAAAGAGATCTTCATCTCCTTGTCTCTCTCTTTTGCCAGTTGATGATGATCAGTGGCTGGATATGATAGAGGATGTAGGGGGTATTTATATATGTAAATTAATGACAAGGATTCCCTCTTTTTTAATTCTTGTCAAACATAAACATTAAAGGCTCATAATAATGGTGACAAGTTGACCCTGACTATACAAGGGTTCATTTGGTTTGCAGTCGGAATTGAAATCGTAATGGTTTATTCCCATATTTTATTTGGTTCAGATAGGAATTTGAATAAGAATTGGAATCAGCTGGTATGTGATCTCATTCTCAAGGGAAGGAGAAAGAATGGCCATTCCCTCAAATAAAGAAATGCCATTTCACCAAAAATGGGAATAGAATTCCAATTCTACCCAACCAAATTGCTCGTATCGTCAAATCACTCTGATTCCAATTCCAAACCTCTATTCATGCTAACCAAACAGGGACCTAATTCTTGTAGCAATCAGTTAAGAACCTCAAATTAAGGGTACCCAGTTGCCAAATTGGGGAGTATTAAGGAAATACAAGTGACTGCCATGCACTTGAGGGTCTTATTGTCAATACGCCTAGAAAATGGACACTACAGTAAGGATATTTTGGTCAATAAAAGGAACTAAAATGGGCCCGATTCTCTTTCTAGCTTTAAAAGGAACAAAATGCAGAGTAACTAATTAATCACTTGGGTCATCTCCTCCAATTGATGATGACGAAAAGAAAAACTAATGAAATTTGAAGCAGAAGAAATGGAATCAACATGTATCATCCCATATAAGGGACTGTCCCTTCAAATTGGTGATTCAAATCCCTTCGATCGAAAGTCATCAAAAAAAAAATTGTTTTGATAAAAGACTTTCTCAGTCAAAAATCATATACATAAACGAGTAAGCTAATCAAATAAGCAACATTGTGGAGTAAAGTTTTTAAAACCGAATTGGACAATAATCTGGTCAGGGGTTCGGTTTCTGGTCAAATGATCCAATCGTTTGAATCGAACGGACAATTTATTCTGACAAAAAAATAAAAATGGTTAAAACCGTTAGACGGTTCGAACAATTTGATCATCTAAACCAACGGTTTACAGACCAAATCAATAATTTTTGACAAAATAATAATTATAGGGTAAAACGAAACCGATCATTTGATCGATTCCCGATTTTTTCGGTCTGACCGTCCGGTGCGATTTTAAAAACCATGCCGTGGAGTGGAGGATTGACGTTGACCAAGCGTTCTACTGTGTGCTCTCGTGTTGACATGTATTCATAATTCATGTCATGTGATCCACCGTTTATCGCGCCGCGCACTGAACCCTATGAGCCCGCCGTGCATCGCGCGGCGTAGTTAAAGCTTTCCCACGGAAAGGTGCGTGCGTAGAATCAACGTATGGGTCAGCAATCTGAAGGCATGTATTGTTGCTCCACGTTTTAAAAATAGTGAACATATTCATCAAATTCAACAATGGCAAGTTGGAACATTTGGCTCAGATTAATTTAAACTCTTTATATTTTATATCTTTTCCGCATCATAGATTTTTCCTTTATATTAATAATATCCAACTGGTTAATTTCTTCTTCTCTTTGTTGAATACATTTAATTTAATTTAAATAGGTCGTAATATTATTGTGGAAATTACAGCAATGCTTTGATTTAAATGGGTTATAATACATTTAATTTAATTTAATGAACTGTGGAAATTACCGCAGTGCTATTAGCAGTAGCATTTTTTCCTATATTAATTACTTAGTGGGAACCCATACAATACATGGTCTTTTTTGTTAAATGAAATTAACAAGAAATTAGTGTGAGGTGTATTCTGTGAGAAGCAAATCCGGATTCCTCCTCATCATCCACATAGAACACTTAATAATTTAGGAGTAGCTTAAGTATTTCACCCTAAAAAATATGAACGTTCTAGCCATTTTTATTTTTGAATATTAATAAAGTAAAAATATAAATTATATATCATTATATGCATATAGTTGATACCCAAAACCAAAATGTGCCTCGAGGGTGTGTAGAGCCAAGGAAATGTTTTCTCACCAAATGCCTTCCATCTAAGAAAGTGGGACCTGCTACTTAGTAGAAACTAGAAAGCAGATGGATAATTTTTAATGGAGAAATTTAATTGTTTGGGTGAATATCTAACTCAGACAAAAAACTTAACAACTGCTGCAATTCTCATGGAATGGTGACCCAACTGCTTCAACATTCGTAGAATATCGTATATGAACAGAATTCAAACAAAAATGTGAATCACCCATCAGCAAAGGATTCTGATGCAATGGAGACACCCAAAGACAACAGTTCTGGTGCAGTGGAGACACTAGGAGAGGAGACAAAAGTTCAAGATATATTTTGATAAGCTACTAAATCCAAGGAAGTTGCGATGGGTTGTATGGCCAAGGATGAATCCAGAAAGCATCTATAGAAAAGTTGATACCTAGTTGCAGAAGCAAGGACAGCGAACGAAAATTAGGTACTTGCCAGAGAGCTCACAGCCTCAGTGTCCCAAGGTAGGGGTGTCAATTGGACTGGATTTGATCCAATCCGATCCAGTCCAATGTGAGTCCATTACAAATGGACCAGGTCCAATTCAATGAATATTGTGGATCATTTTGTTCTGGTCCAATTCGATGTCTGGACCGTTTAATCTGTTCAAATTCTTTTTAATTTAGATTGGTTTCAACCCAAACCCAGTCCATTGACATCTATATTCTTATCTTATATCAATGGACCAGATATTGGCTTAATCCAACCCAATCTAATATAAATTTATTACAGACAAACCAAGTGCAATCCAATGTCTTGTTGGTCCGTCCAATCCGTCCAAATTGATTTTGAACAGGATGGGTCCACTCCAAAACCATTCTATTGACACCCTTACCCAAAGGTGCGCGTATAAGGAGATTAATAAAGATTTTGTTCTGGAACAGAGGCTGAATCTAAGGTGGAGTTCTCTGACAGTTTGACACTCTTAGAGAAGTAACTTCCAAAGAGATTTTCCCTGGTGGATCATTGTTATTGTTGTAAATAACCTTTTTTTTATATATATATTTTTTTTCTTTCAGAAGCTCAAAGCGTATTTGAGTATCAGCTAATTTCTTTTGTACCACATCTGAAGATAGAATAGAGTGTTGAAGGTCAGTGGACCTGATGTGCAACCTCTCTGTCTCCACCTCATGAACCCCTGTAATGTATTAATACTAAAAAAGAAAATGAAAAACAAATAAACGTTATTTTTATTTTTTTTTTTCTTCCAGAAGCTCAAAGTGTGTTTGAGTACCAGCTAATTTGTTTTGTACCACATCTGAAGATAGAGTAGAGGATTAAAGGTCAGTGAACCTCATATGCACCTTGCTCTGTCTCCACCTATGAACCCCTGTAATATATTAATACTAAAAAAGCAAATGAAAAATAAAACAAACATTACTGGGCCAATCATGACCAGCCATGTCAACCTGATGGGCCTCATATATAAAGCTAACATGGTTTCTCATGATTGGTCTACTAATATGATTAGATCTATAGAGGATAAAATACTCTAATAGAAGATAAACTTAAGAACTTTAATTGCAGGAGCCAGGAGCATATATTAATATCCAAGATTTAGTCTGAAACTTCCATCTCATGTTTTAAATCAATAGGACTGTGTGATATAAATAGCAGAATACAACACAAAAGGCTGAGAAAATCATGATATTCATGTATGATTTATTGACTGGTTAAACAAAGGGAAGTATACAAAATTCACAAATCTGAATGTAACAGATTGCTGTTATATTTCTCCCATAGCTTCCTACGGACCCATCAAGTTCCACCTCCAACTCAGAGTTAAAGAACTATCATGACTATGATGATTCATATAAGCTTTGTCCCAACTATATGGGGTCAGCTACATGAATCCTGTTTTGCCGTTCCATTCTGTTCAGTGCCATATCCTGGAGTGAAGGAACTATATGTCAATTAAATTTAGCAATAATATCAATGAAATTTGAAAGTACACCAAAGGCCAAAACCCAATGTTGGTGCCAACAATGTATCAATTAAATTTGAACTATATGCCAATCAATTTTTTTTTACCAAAAAACATTTTGGTGCCAACCATGTGGGGTATTGGGAGAGGTAGACGGATACAGTCCTAACCTTTAGCATTTTTTTTGTGCAGTGGCTGCTCTCAGACTCAAACCCATTCTCTCACACTTGACAGCCTGAGATTTTACACCAAGTAATTGTATGATCATGATAAATTTTATTTTCAAGAGAATGAGAAAATGTGCTCCAGTACACCTACCATATTTGTCATGCCGTAACTTAATAAGGGATCACTCCTTTGGCAATCAGAAGAAACGAACACAAGTGGTTTGTCACGTATGCTTTTCACTGTTATCCTCATCTCCCCTATGCCATGCTTAGCCCTGCAAACATTGAATCATGTTAAAATCCACAATTCAATCACTGGACTATTTGCTATAAATAGCAAAATGAATGAGGAATCTGTTGAACTGCAACTAAAAAAAAGTTTGTGATTCACTTTCATTCACAAAATTATTGTTGATTAATGGAATACCCATAAAATAAAGTGACAACACCAGGGGTGTGGAGCTGAAATTTAGCAAACTCTATCTACGATATCACACACGCCAAAAATCAATCTTCATCAGATAACATCTACCCAATTATTATTATGTCAAACACTCCAGAAACAAATAAGTATTTGATGGATAAATTAACATATGGGAAATGACACTTGGAAATTTTGGCACATGTAACATAGTCTGAAGGAGGTGGAGTGATCCAGCATCTTTTGTGGGATAACCATTGCCTTGTACATTCAGATCTGTGAAGTGAAGGGCGATCCATCATATGGATGGCCGAACCATGCAGGATGGCTGGGCAAAAATTCAAAAAATTCTTTCTCCCTTCCGGGAATCCTATTCCCTGTTTTAGAAAAACTACATTTTTCAAGGTTTGTTCTTGAAACAAACCGGACCAAATCTAAAACCAAGATTAAGGGAGGGATATACCTGATACGGAATCCACGCAAGAAACTCCTCCCAATGTAGGTGTTCACGCCCAAAAAGATTGCCAAATCCCTCCTCCAATAAAGATGACATAGCTTAGGGTGAGGCAGGATCAACAAGGAGATAGATTCTTTAGCAAAAACCCCAATTCTTCAGCAAGAATCAAGCAGGGATGTGAGCACGGCTTCAAGATTGACTCTTCCAGCAAGAATCAATATCAAGATCCAATCTTGATCACTCCAAGAACTGGAGATCAAATAGGATAGGGCAGCAAGAGCAAAGGGAAAGAGAACTGAATGCAGAAAACTGTGAAACTGTGTAACCTTTTTTCCAATTCGCCCTCCTCTTTATATATAATCCTTAAACAGTTAACCTCCAAATCTGATTAGGAGTTTCTTGATTCAAATATTTATTTGGATCTGGACTCTTTAAGTGATAAGGCTTATCCCTTATCTTATCTACAGATCAGGATCAACTTCTCCTAATCAAATTAGAAGTTTCCTACTCCAAATCTCTATTTGGATCTGGACTCTTTAAGTGGATAAGAGTTATCCTCCTATCCTTTTCTGCTGATCCAGTTCAAATTGGGTTTTAGGCCCATTAAGCTTTCAGGCTCATTTTCCTTTAAGTGTTGGCTAGCTTGGCATTCTTTGTATGGCGTTGGACCCTAGCATTGATCTCCACATAAGCCACATGGGTTCAGCCCAACCTCTGTTACAAGGCCTGACCGAATTCACTGTCGAATACAGTGAACCCCTGAATCCATCAGTATGGGCTCTTAATGGGCCCAACATTTACACTAAATGGTCCTTGGGTTAAGCCATCTTATGAAGGCCCAAGGACTGTGGGCAGATGTGAGATTAGCCCATCAGGTTTACTATCCCTAAATGGTCTTACACTTAACCTCCCTAAATGGCCGACAAGAGAGGACCTCTCCCTCGGCTGCAAGGTACAGTGTTGCACTCTCTGCTCACATGGATCTCATGAATTAAAACCTTTTGCAAACATTTTGTGAAACCATAATATATATGTATATCTCTATATAAATATATTTTACAAAAACAAATCTCAACAAGTTTGAAATCAATTATCGGTAGTTTAGGTTTCCATCAGTGAGAGTGGATCCCCGATCATTACCTTTGTCCGACAAAGGGGCTGATCCTATCACTATGATCACCCACTCAGGTGAATTCTTAGACTATCCCAACATACCCACGTTTTGACCCCTGCTAAGGATTTCACTGATTGGCATATCAAAGACAGCCCAATCTGACACCTAGAATAGTACCATAATCGAGTTTAGGGGTCAGGTGTAACATTCCAATTTTGCCCATCTATCTCCAAGGTCCAGGGTACAACTGGAAAATGGTCCGGTTCAGAGTTTCAAACAAACCCACACTACATGTGCTTCAGGTTTCACCCTGGCAGCTGAGACAAGCCACCCCAACCAACTTGGCAGCACATTAGTGTCATCTTGGCAGGATAAACCTCCCCAGGTCTATCCAATGGCTATGAAGATTCTAAACTAACACGAGTCTCTCAAGTGTCCAATTTAAGGGTATTACACAAAAACACACCATAATAACATGAATCAACTATGTACTTTATTCATTTATAATAAATGTCAATGATGTACATCAATCTGATTGGAGATAAGGGCATACACTGCCTAACAATCCGGCTATCTGACACAGCTATTTTCTATTGTTGAATACAAGGAGTGATTATTTGAGATGGCTTTTGAACCCTTATCAAGTGTATCACTCCCATGAATTATAACAGGATTGAAGTTTCCTCGGTATCATAATTCTAAAATCTGGTCTTCAACTCAATTCGATCTTGAGGTTTTGGATATATGAATCCTATCCCACCATTGTGCTCCATCAAGATCTATGCTTTCTTTCAAATCATAAGCCCTTAGATCATTTCTTATCACTAAACCACATTTTCTTCGGTCTTTCCCTTGCTCTTTTAGAGCCCCATACTCTCCTTACTGGTGCAGTCCTTGGTCGTTTATGCATATGGCCAAACCATCACAGTTGACTTTTCATTCACCTTGTTGTTACTGATTGGAGATACTCTTAAATCCTCTCTAATCTACTTATTTCTGATTCTGTCATTTCCAGTCTTGCCACTGAGCTATCTAAACATCCTAAATGTCATCTAAATTCATTTTCTTGAACAAAATTTTCTCAGTTTCCAACAATCTGCCTCACATAGTAATGTGGGTTTTACAACTATTTTGTAAAATTTATCTCTTAGTCTCATTGCTACATGCCAATCAAACAGCACACTGGATGCACCTCTTCGCTTCAATCAAATTGCTCTAATTCTATGGTAAACATCCTCTTTAACTTCTCTTTCATTATGGATAATCAATCCAAGGCACCAAAAGTGATTACTTAGGGTACATGAGATGATGTACAACAGCCTGAAAAGGCTGAGGCAGAACTACAAAAGCAAAGTACTGTCACTAAACGAATTTTCTCTAAAAGCCCCTGAGTTTGCTAGGCTATCAGCAACAGTGTTTAGCTCCCTAGGAATTCAAACCAATTTCACATACATTGAATCCAGGACATCTCTAGCTGCATCCAGAAAGTACGCTAGTTCCAAGGCCCTCCTTCCTTCTCCCTTAACCACTCTATTGTATTAGCAGAATCACCTTCGATGATTAGAGAGGACATGCCTAACAATCGGATTGCTGAAAGCCCAGCAGATATTCCCCCTTCCCCCTCGTATTACACCACCATTCCTGCTTGATCTATAGATCTTTGGGCACTACCATCAAAGCTAAGTGCCATCCCTCCTCTCTAGAATAATGTCTATGATTTACAAACACTCCTTGGGGAAGAGTAGAGGGCTTCTATTATATTCTTTTGAAGATCATTTAAGGATAAGCCCTTGAACACTTGTGAATTAACCACCCAAAGGTTACATAAAATAATGTAGGAAATCAGGTCTTCGACATTTCTAGCTTTATTTTCAAATATCCTATTATTTCTTTCATCCCAAATGCCCCACAGCAATGCATGAGTCACTGTACTCCAGTACAGCCTTCCTCTTTTTCCTAATCCTCTGCCTTGCCATTGCTAGAGGTCCACAACCTACTCCAGAAACACCCAGCTGTAACCCACTAAGTTGAGAAAATAAACCAAACCTTCCTCGTAACAGGAGTGGAGGAGGTGTTCAACTGTCTCTGCATTACTGAGGCAAAGAGGGCAAACGTGGGGGGAGATACACAATCAACCTTTGAGCTTTTTCTGAATCATACCACAAGTGCTTAATTTCTTTAGGCATGCCTCCCACACAAAAAATGAGACTCTAGGAGGGATTTGTGAACACCAAACCTTTTTGACAGGAAAAGGTAAACCCTGATCTTCCAACACTAGAGAATTGAAGCAGGAGTCAGTGGAGAACTTGCTGGCAGGATTAAGTTTCCAAATCTTTTGGTCAGGGGTAGCAGGAGAGATGTAAACCTCACTAAGAGAATTAAAAAGAATTTTTTTCTGTTACAGTAGTTAAGCAGACTTGCTATTTCAGCAATCTCTACCTCTCTTGAGGGCCTTCTGAGGTTTAAGTTTCAATTGGTTCCCAAGAGTGAGGAGCAAAGGCTCAAAGAAAGGTCAATATTGGTGAGAAATTACACCAAGGCATAGATCAAAGTGCTCAATAAAAGAAGAAAATCAAAACTATAACATGCAGGCCGAAAGAAAACTTATCTTTCCAAGGATGAAGAATCAGAGTACATTTTATGTTTGATGGGCTAAAAGATGAGAAGAAATATCATTTGATTACTTGGTCATATATGGCACGACCAAGGATTGAGGAGTGATTGGAGTAAGGCTCTTATGCCTAATGAATAGGGCTGTCAATGGATAAGATTTTAATCTAATTCAATCTCAATCCAATTACATTCCTTTCCAAAAGTGGGTATTTCCAATCCAATAATCATTAGTTACAACCAATCAGATCCAAGATGTCAGGTGCATTGTTATCAAAAGAGAGGGGAGTGAGTTCAAATTATTTACAACCTCCTTGTTCAGTACATCATCCTGTAATATACACATAATTGAGCTGTGAAGATAAAAAATGAAGAACAGACTGCAGTATCAAAATTCAGGAAATGAGCAGAATCTTTACCAGATGAAATTCCAGTTTCTCAAACAAATCAGGACCAATGTGGCCCGTAACACTCTCAACAGATTCTTCAATCAAATTATCATAACTGCTCAATCATCAAAACTCTAAACATCTACCCCCAATCAAGAAGCTGAACAACCATGTTAGAACATTTTAGAGGGCCCACTTATCAGTATACTCCTGTTCTCCAAAACTTTCTTTAGAGGAACCTTTCTCTGCACTACATTGCATCACATAATTCATCCCAAAAGGCCCTCCTTTCCCATGCTGACCATGCAGCTGTTATCCAAGTGTTACTAATATTTCTTTTCCCATTACCAATAATCCTTACAAGAGCATTCTCCACCTACAAAATGGTGAAATCTATTTGAATCTCTCAAGATGATGGGTCGCTTGGTAATCTTACACACGAACTTCATGAACACATGGCAGTCACCACAAACACGTATGTTCTTTACAATCCTTATGGATGTCCCACCTTGAGGCTTGCTGATCAATCCAAATGCAAGAGCAAGTTTCTCACTATGATAACAGATAGAATCAAACTTTTCCGCCTCACCTACATCATGCAGAACAAAGCTTGTATCAGGGGTAAACCCAGCTTCTTGCACTTTCTGAATCAATCTATCCAATTCTTCATAAATTTGACCTGTTTTAGGATGACGTCGATCATCAGATACAAATTTATGGACTTTTTTATCAATCTCAATCCAGCTATAGGCTGCAAATTTCCGAATATTCCTATCTTTCATAAGAGTTCTCATGGATGCCACTTCATCCCACCTTCCAGAGGCAGCATACATGTTTGACAACATGATATAAGGGCCAGCGTTTAATGGATCTAATTCAAAGAGATGCCTTGCGGCCATCTCTGCATGCTTGATATCATTATTAATGGCAGAAACAGATAAAAGTGTAGACCAAATTAGGCAATTTGGTTCATCAGGCATGCCTTTAATCAGATCAACTGTTTCTTTCATGTACCCAAAGCGACCAAGGAGATTGATCATACATACATAATGATCAGAAGTAGGTGTTATTCCATGTAATTTGCTTATTGAACGGAAATATCTCTGCCCATGTTCAACCAGACCAATATGGCTACAAGCAGAAAGGACACCAACAAAGGTAACATTATCTGGCTTCAAGTTTTCCTGTAACATCCTCTCATAGTGCTCTAAAGCCTCTTGATCCCGTCCATTTTGTGCACAACCCACAATCATTGCATTCCAAGAGACTACATTTCGAGCTTGCATCATATCAAAAACAGCTGAAGCATCTGTAATCTCTCCACATTTGGAGTACATATCAATGAGGGCACTTGACACCTGCAACTCAGCCTCAACTCCAATAAGAATCGCTTTCCCATGAACTACTTTTCCACGATCCACAGAGGCTAACCTAGCACATGCACTAACCACACTTGAGATAGTGAAACCATCTGGGTTGACATTCTCTGATAACATTTTGCCAAATAACACCAAAGCATCCTCTTCTTTTCCATTTTGGGCATAACCAACAATCATTGTTGTCCAAGAAACCCTATCTTTCTCCTTCATCTCTTTAAATATCCTAGTAGCATCTTCTATCAGTCCACTTTGTAGATAAGCACCAAGAACACTAGACACTGTAACCAAATCAGGCTTGACACCTGAGAGCTGCATGCTATGAAACAAATCCAAGCATTTTTCTGGTTCCTTATTTTTCAAATAACCTGAGATCATCGAATTCCAAGACACAACATTCCTGTCAACCATTTGATCAAATAACCACCGAGCATTATCAATCTTGCCACATTTCGCATACATATCAATTAAACTATTTGAGACAAAAAGATTTCCTCTTACATTGCCAACAATAAGCTGTCCATGTATTTGCTGCCCACACTTCAAATTCAATAATTGTGAACATGCATTTAAAACGCTCACATACGTATACTGATCCCGTTCGAATCCTTCTTTTTGCATTCTAATAAATAGCTCCAAAGCATTCTTAGAACCACCATTTCCCACAAGGCCTGAAATTACCGTATTATATGAAATGGCGTCACGGGCAGGCATTTGATTAAAGAGTGTCTGCAGCTCTTTAACAAAACCCGACTTGGAGTACGCGGAAAGCATTATGTTCCACGTTCTCACGTCTCTGCAGGAGATTTTCTCGAACAGCTTCTGAGCATCTGATATTTTTCCAGACTTGGCGTAAAGATAAAGTAGACGATTGTGAAAGGCTGTGGCGTTTGCTTCAGAATGAGGACCCATGCGTGACTGCAATCTCTTGGCTCGATCAACACTTCTGGTTCGACAACGTTTGAGTAACAAACGAGAGTAACCATCGTCTCCAACACGAACAAAGATTAAGTCTACGGCATCGTGGAGCTTTTGTCTTGATATCATACTCCTGGTGTCCCTCGGAGTCGGAACGACTGCCGAACTGCATACCCACCTTAATGGGGTGACAGAACTGCCGACAATGATCAATCTCTACGTTGAAAATAGAAGTTTTAATTCTCAGTTGTATTCCATCCACTCAGTATGTGGAGCAGTGTAGATAGGAACCATTTATTGCTTTGCTACCATAAAAAAGTGTGCTAACCAAACATATAATTTAAATAGGGGTGCTTATTGACATTCTTGGCCCGGCCCAATCCTTACATTTTCGAGCCTGGGCCCAGGTTTTCGTGTGCAAATCCGGCCTGGCCCGGCCCCTGCATTAATCCCAGAAAATTCTGGGCCGGGCTTGGGCCCAATATTTCAAATCCAGACCGGCCGCAATATAATATAATACATATTCTTAAATATACAATATTTTTATATTATAATATATTACATTATACATCATATATAATAAATTTTATATATACTTAATATTAGGCCTTTTTGCATATTATGGGAGCGTTTTACAACATGAATGTTGTTTTTGTTTTCACTTGTTTTTAGAATCGCTACATCAGCAAAAAAAAACAAAAACATGTTTTTCAACTCTGTTTTTGTTTTCAAAATGAAAAATAAGTTGGTTTTGTTTCAAAAAAATAGTACATGTTTTTGGAACTAACAAAATATTGGTTTTTAAAACAAAAATAATTTTTTTTAGTATAGAAATTACATGATTTATGGAACATGAAGTTGAATAATTAGATGAAAACATGTTTTTGTAACCAGATTCAAGAACAAGTTTTTTGTTTCAGAAAACAGAAAACAAACACACAACCAATAATATATTTTGTGTTTTATCTTGAGAAACAATTTGTTTTTAAATTAGATGGTTTTTATTTGTTTTTGGAACCAACAACAAGAAAAACAACTCATGTTGAACACTCCCCAGATGACCTAGATGACCCAATTTGGCAAATTCAATTATGCTTTCAAAATAATTACAAAAACAGTAAGTGGGAGAGGTTTTTAATTTTTTTAAGACCAAACTACCCTTCATTTAATGCCCATAATAACTTAATCCACCTCGGTATGTCTCAAGACATTTAGGATCATTGTTTTCAAAACCGGACTAGACCGGATGGTCGGACCGAAAAAACCGGGAACCGGTCACATGATCGATTCTGTTTTCCTCCAAAACCGTATTTTCCCCCAAAACGGTTGATTTTGGTCAGCAAACTGTTGAACCGGCCGGTTAACCATTCGAACTGTTCGGATCAAACGGTCAGACCGTTCGAACCAGTAACCGGACCCTGACCGATTTGATCACCGGTTCGTTTTTAAAAACCATGTTTAGGATTATTGCTATTACCCTTTTAACTTTTTCATCGTAGTAACACATTAAAGGCACATATGATGTATTGTTTTGAACATGTTGCCACCGTTCTCCTACATTTTTGTACATTATTAAAAAACATAAAATGATTTAATATTAGAATACAAACACTAAATCTAATAAAAGTGGAAAGAGAAAACAGGATTTATGATAAAGATTATTATATTACTATTGCTTCCACTTCAATTATAGCATTGTTATTTGATTACATAATTGGATAGTTAGAAAAGTCCTTTCAATGGTCAACTAGAAAAGCTAATCAAGAGCCCAATCAAAACAAATTGTATTGTTAAAAAGGATGCAGTTTCAACCAACTTTCTAGCCCTCCTCCACAAGAACACAGTTCGTATAATCCTACAATCAATCTATAAAATTAGACTACATAGGGATGACAAAAAGGGAAACAAGGATAATTCATTCATGAAAAAAGAAAATCCCTATATGTAAATAGAGGGGGAAGAAACCAATTAGTATAACAAAACATAGCACCATAGAAAAAAAGCCTTAGTTACAATATTTAAGAACAATGGATATAACAACTTTGTTAACTTTCTATAATTCCAACTCTTACAATTATAGAAGATCAGCGCTTCTTCAACCCCAACTTCTATAGGTCGGATTTACTCCTATGTCCATGTCTTCTTCTATCTATAATGATATTTAAGATTGGGGTGTATGTAAGTCGTTCACTAGTGATGGCTCATCGATTGTTATAAGGTCTACTGCCTCCTTGAGTGTGTTGGGTGTCTTAGGCTTAACATCATGTTCTTACCTTCTTCCTCTCTCAAATGTTGTGTGTACTTGATTACAATCAACCTATACGTTTGAAATTAATTGTTAATAAAATAAACAAGTTATAAAAATAATATAACACCCAAATTTAAGAATAAAATTATAACAAAAAAAGGTTTTCCACAATCAAGGTTTTGGGGCAAGGACTACTAGCCAAGACATTGAAAGATTGAGATGAACCACTGGAATCAAATCCATTCTTCTCAAGCAGTGTTGTCTCCACTACAAAATAAGGTTGTTCCGTAATATTATCTTCTATTAGAAATGAAGGATCATTACTTCAGGCATAAGGAACCTGATGGTGCGCAATCCGACTGGGCCTAGCTGTCAACGACCCTGCCTCTGAACGGAGCTATAGGGAGCCTGAAACAGAGAAGATGGGGAAGCTCCGGGGGGAACCCGGTATGAATGCTCCAAAGCTCAAGTTAGAATTTTTAGGCAAGATAAAACCAGATGGCGCAAAGTTCACGTACCTTGTTCTTGGGGGTAGGGAGCCTTTTATAGCCACATTGTGCACTCACTCCTAAGCTTCTGTCAGGTCGGATATGATTACCTCTGGTCTCCTGCCAGTTCGGGTGTCATCCCCTCTGTTGCACAAAACCGCCACTGCTCCCTTTTGTCGGAGCCGTCTTTGCGACTAGCGATGACGGTGGCAGGTGGCGGTGGTAGGTGACCGTTGAAGTGCGGTTGTCAAGCGTCAAATCCCAAGTCAGTTAGGTGTGCCACCCTTGGATACGGACCTCCTCGGTGTCAGGTATGGTACGTTTGTTCAGTTCGGCGTCCTGGAGGCGAAGTGCTGGAGTGGCGAACGAGGTGAAGTCTTGAGTTCGGATAGGGGAGTGTCCCGAACTGCCATTAGGCAGGCCAGTTCGGGTCACTGTCTTGTGTGGCTCAGGGCCTAAGGGAGAGTTCGGGCTCCTCGTAGGGAGTTCGGGCTCTTAGTAGGGAGTTCGAGCTCTTAGTAGGGAGGTCGGGCTCCTCGTAGGGAGTTCGGACTGCTGGTTTCTTCCCTTTGGTGCTTGCGCCCTGGGTGCGCTGTTGTGTCGAGCTGTTTGCCTTTGCCACGTATTGAGAATGCTGGGTCGATCCAACTCAGTTCATAGTGGTTCCTCGACGGAAGCACCGATCTGTAGTGTGCGAGTTGGGTCTGTAGCCGAAGTCGGGACTGCGACTGTTTCCTTTGTGGGCGAAGCTCGTTCCTCGCCTTGCTCCGTAGGCCGCTCCAGTTCAAGGTCGTCGGCCACCTTGGTTTTTCCCTTCAAGGCGGCAGCATAACACTTGCGGACTCGAGCTGGTCGCCCCGCGCTACCCCCACACCGAAGTCTGTAGGGAACTTCATTGCCAAATAGTATGTGGAGACCACTGCCCGCAGGATATGCGTAATTGGCTGCCCTATTATGGCATTGTATGGGGAGGGGGTCATGACCACCAGGAAATCATGGTTGAGTCTGACCGCACAAGGCCATGTGCCGGCTTCCACAGGTACTGTTATTTTTTCGAGGGGCCTGACTTCCTCTCCGCTGAAACCCACCAGAGGAGTGTTCGCGGGCTTCAGCTCGCTCCTCTATAATGGTAGCTGGTCAAATGCTGACTTGAAGAGGATGTCCGCCGAGCTGCCCGAATCCACGAGTACGCGCCTGACCTCGAAGTCGCTGATCCTTAGTTTAATGACAAGCGCATCATCGTGGGGGTAGTGGACCCCTCGCGCATCGTCTTCCGTGAAAAAGATCGGCTCTTCAGTCTTTGGTCTTTTTGGGGGGTTCTGTTCCTCTTGGGCCGCTTCGCGAACTGACGTCTGGGCCGCTGCCGAAGTACACCCTGCTACCACCGAACCTCCCACAATTACATGGATGGTTCCCCGAACTAGCCTCTCTTCCAAAGGCTGTCGCTGCAACGGTTCGGCTGGTCTGCTGCTAGATTCGGGGGCATCCTTTCCGTGCTCCCCTTGCCGACCTACCTTATTGTTATTATTATTATCATGCTGTACAAACTTCCTTAAGTATCCGCGACGGATGAGTCCCTCTATCTCATCTCGGAGATTATTACACTGTTCGGTACTATGACCGTGGTTTCTATGGAAACTACAGTACAAATTTTTATTTCTCTCGTTCAGATTTCCCTTTAGGCAAGGTGGCCACTTTACGTATGGGGCGTCCTTGATCGTCATTAAGATCTCGGTCCACCTCGTGTTTAACAGTGTGTAATCCGTCCGAACTGCTAAGGGAGCTCGAAATGACTGGTTCGGCTTCGGCTCCCGGGCCGGGTTTTTTCTGTCGACTGGGTTGGAGGGCTCGCCTTCCCTCTTTCTTTTCTCGTTCCCGCTTTTGGTCCGTTGGTTCATTTCTTCCTCTGTTCTCAAGAACTTATCCACGAGCTTGAGGAATTTGGCCATGGTTGCGGGCTGGTTAGCTACCATGTGCCATTTGAACTCTCTGTGCGTTACTCCTCTCTTGGCCGCCGCGAGCTGCACCGCGGGGTCTAACCGCGGTATCTGTAAGCACGCTTCATTGAACTGCTTGATGTAGCCCCGGATGGATTCTCCTTCTCTCTGGACTACTCCGAAGATGCTTTCCTCTGTTCTGGGGCACCGCTTGCTAGTGACAAAGTGTGCGGTGAACACCTGCACGAACTAGGCCCAGCATCTTATCGACCCGGGGGCCAAGTTCCTGTACCAAGTGCGGGCTACCCCCTGAAGGTGGTGGCGAAAGCCACGCACATGCACGATTCACTGGCCCTGGCGAAGTGCATTTGGGACTGAAAAGCATCAACGTGGTCGTTGGGGTCAAAGGACCCATCATACTTGTCCAAAGGTGGGAGCTTGAAATCTCTGGGCAAGGGGACCGCCAGGAGTTCTGATTCGAGGGGGCAAGGAACTGAGAGAAACGGGGCAGCTCTTACCTCGTCCGAGCTCGTCTCTTCCTTACCTCTGAGCTCGGGCAGGACACGGGTGGCAGTTCGGCGACTTCGCCGGCGCCTTCGTTG